TGACCCACAGGTTGAGAACCACTGGACAGAATAACAGGGATTGGGGAGGTCTTCTAGTCCAACCCCCTGCTCAGGCAGGAAACCCCGTGCCATTTCAGACAAAAATGATTGTCCAGTCTCTCCTTAAACACCTCCAGCGTTGGAGCATCCACAACTCCTGGAGGCAGGTCGTTCCAATGATTTATCATTTTACCTGTCAGGAAATTTCTCCGGTTTCATTTCTCTCTGTCTGCAGAGAGCTACGGCAGCCGGTTTTTCCTAGCTGTCTCGTCCACCCTGTCTTCTGCTGCCATCATTACCCTAACATGTTTACTATGGGAAGTGGGAGATACAACCAAACAACACTGGATGAGCACAAATTGGAACATGCTGAGAAACAGATTAAAAAAAAGAAAAAAGATCTTGCCAGCTCAAAGATGAATGTTCTCACCGCTACTGAATCCAAGCCTGCACACACTCATTGCACAATCTCACAATAGCACGGTTGCTAAAAAAAGAAGGAAGTGCAACTATCTTTGACTTTTAAGCAGTTTAAGAGGGCACTTATGGCTAGTTTAGAGAAAAGAAGGACCAGGGGTGAACGTGATAGCAGTATTCCGGTATTTGAGGGGCTGCCACCAAGAAAAAGGGGGGGTCAACTTATCTTCCAAAGCACCAGAAGGCAGGACAAGCAACAATGGATGGAATCCAGGAGAGAAGCAACCTGGAATTAAGGAGAAACTTCCTAACAGGGAGGACAATTAACCAGTGGAACAGCTTTGCCTTCAGAAGTTGTGGGTGCTCCATCACGGGAGATTTTAAAGAAAAGAGTGGACAGCCACTTGTCTCAAACTGTATAGTTTCTCCTGCTTGACCAGAGGGCTGGACTAGAAGACCTCCGAGGTCCCTTTCAGCTCTATTCTGATTAATTGAACACGTGGGAAAATGTGGCTACCGGCAATCCAAGGCACCCCCTCAAAGCTTGCCCTAGTTGAACCAAGGTCCCCACCTTCTTACCCCCCCCCCAACAATCACTCACTATTAAGTTATCCGGACATATGGACCATTTTGGTCTTCTGCCAGGTCTCCAACGTGTCCAGCCACAAGCAGAAACCGACATGCGTCAGTCTGAAATGAGAAAAGTTTTATTAATTATCAACACGGCT